AACAGTCCCATACATTACAACCTACTGTCGCTACTGATATTAATGAGAAAAATTGTAATATATTTATGGCAACTAAATTGTAATTATGTCTTCCATTCATTTAAACTAAATTTACCTCAAAGTACTTTTTTTGTTATGTAGAGATAGGGTGGTGCTCACCTAAATGCAGTGTCATTACCTCAAATTACGTTTTCTATTATTTTAAACAAAATTTGCCTCAAAGTAAAATTTTGATATATAAAGCAACGTTTCTCATCCGCAGAGAATGTCATTACCTAAAATTATGTTTTTGAAGCAAAATCTGCCTGAGATTACTTTTTTGTTATACAGAGCAGGGTTTCCCAAGCGCAGACGACAATGCCATTAGCACAGCACTACTGGTTCGTAAAATCTTATATTTTCGCCTTTTTTATTATATATATGTATATTCTGGGAAGCTGTTGGTACCGGTCTCTTTATAAAACAAACACACTGAATTTTTTTTCAAACCATAGTCCGTTTTGGATTCTGAAATACTGACGTAGAGTATAAAATATGCATGTATATAGTAATATTTAATTACTACTAAAAATCTCTGATTAAATTTTTTATTTCGTATGTATGTAAAAACATAGTAATATATGCATGTAATTGTACTCTCCTCTTTTGAAATTAGAAGGTCCTCAATGGCTTTCATTCGGAAGGCGGAATGTCTTCTGTTCGGTTAGAATCGATTGCAGCACAAAAGATCAATCATGATCGTAGTGTTCTGCTCCGTTAAGAACTAGTACCCCGTTTATTCCTATTCTTATGTATGTAAATGAAAATTGTAGTTTTGAATCTCATAGAATCTACTATATATAACTATACATTTTTTCCATTAGAAGTGGAATCTTCTAAAGATGCTGTAAAAGTATGCCCGATTCATACTGTTCGCTATCACCCTTTCTCGGCTTTACGCAAGTACGATGCTCTTGCATATGTCAAACTTGCGATATTGTACGCCTACGAACTAACACTTAAACTAGGTGCTACTTCTCGAGACTATACAACTATACATGTATTTAAGTATGTATAATATATTTGAATATATTCCCTTAACAAATTTTACTATTCAGCCAAGATTAATATACGCTGAATTCCAGTGCGACCATAATTGAATTATCCTCTTTTGCATTAGCTTAAACCGAGAACATCAGAGTACAAATACCGAGTTAAGTTTGGCGACACAGTATGACAGACGGAACACACAATGATAGAAGGAAAGAGTTTTCAAAATACAATATTTAGACAATAGGACTGGATATTATTCTTGGTAGACTTAAACTCTTTGCCAAAACAAGCAACATTAACGGCACTGAGTAGGGCTAATCATTGTTCAAATATGAAAATATATGTACATACATATGTATGTGTATGGCGGTGTACATAGATGGAAAGTATGGACTATAAAAACACAATTTCTTGATTTACACATATTTACTGATGAAGCAAACCGCAGGCATTGCTTAAAATATAAAATACAACGCAAATGCATATACATACATACATACATAAGTAAATATCGTTTTTGCCGCCAAAGTCCTTTTATGCTATTGAAGTTTTAGTTTTTGCTACTGCTCCAAGTTGTTGTTGTACGCTTTTTGTTGCAGTGTTTTGTTGCTTTTTATTTTCACTTTGTTGAATTGTTGTTCTTGCTTTTGCAACAAAAGCGACTTGTTTTTACGCGTTCAAAACTAAAAACAGCAATACTACCACCAACGATTTGCCGTTAGTAGTGTGTTGCAACATTATAGAAAACTATGAAATGTGTAATGAAGAAAAAAAACTGAACAAAAATGAAAAAAACTGAAAATAACTGAAAACAACCAAACTCGCAATAACAAAATGTGCAAAAAACTATTTGTATGTATGTTATATATAATCATTGATACAAACATACATACATATATAAGAGGAAGAAAAACAATGTAAGAATTGTAGAAGTAAGCAGTAAGCAGTAAGCATTAAAGTATGGAAGCTCGACGAAGCAAACGAAATACTTCCAACAACAACAAAGTGTACAGTACCAAACACATTGTGCGAGAAAAAAAGCTAAAATCGCTTAGAGCGGGAAAAATGTCTACACGTTCACTACTGTAGAACCACCGAACATGAAGAAATGAGTGACTTAGTTTTGGATATTGCAGGATTTATCGATTCCTTAAAGCTTGTGTGTAACTCCATTCATAAAAACGTTCACATTGTTTTAATGGAAGAAAGAAAAACTAAAACAGAAAACAAAAAACAAAAACACAAAAACACAAAAAACAAAAGCGCAAATAACAGCAGCGAAAAAAAACACATTGACACACACAAACGAAAGCAGCAAAGCAGTAAAGAAGCAAAGAACACGATGATGCCGGCACAAAAGTTGGGTCCTCTGTCCTCTACGAGGTGCTAGGAGGTGGCGCATAAATAATGATAGCAAACTTGATGATAATGATGTTTTTTCCAAAAGCTTATAAGTTGTAATGAGTAACAGCAAAGCAAGGTAGCGAAAGAGCTATGTTTGTTTTTTATTATTGGTGGGTTGTTAGTTTGCACATTATATTTATCATAACCTGCCGGTTTCCACAAATTCTTTCTTTCGTTGGGAAGTCCTTGCATTTAAAAAATTCATTTTATTTCGTTATCTGTACATTAATTTTAGTTTTTACCTAATATTTTTGTTAATTTATTCTTATTTATTGTTATTGGTTGGTTCGATGGAAAACATTTTACCGAAACAAAAAATATTATAAGTGTTCTATCAATTTTCAATGCAACTGAACATTTTCAAATGTGTGCGTCCTATTCTAAATAATTTATTCCATCATATTGATTAAATATAAATTTATGGTTTTGGAAAACAATCAGTTAGCTTCATTTACACTAGATATTTTTGAGGTATATATGTATGTATGTAGAATTAAAATACATTGAAGTTATTATACTATGTTCAGACCGTCAAATTTCCTTAATTTCGTAAAAATGAAATTAAGTTAATTTCGAAGGTGTTCATACTGCCCCAAATTAAGGAAATCGTTTGTTTTTTTTTTTACAAATCGAATCTTAAAAATTATATGCTCCAAACACCATTTGTATCCGGAAAATTTTAAAAGTTTATTATTATAACTTACTAAACCTATATAATTTTATTTTAAATTAATAACAGTTAAAATTTTTCTCTATATTCAAATTTAAAAATTTGCATTACTTTCAAAATATTTTCCCGGTTTTATTAAAGTCTACTGTCATTGACATTCATTTAAAAAACATGTCACTTTTTCGTTATCTCAACTTTATCTGTTGGTTAAAATTTATCTTACGCATTGCATTTGAAATGTCCCTTAATTTCAACCTTCGTTTCAACGAAATTAAGGTCGTAATCTTTAATTTCGTTCTAACCTTAAAATTGAATTTTGTATGGAAAAAAAAAATTAATTTCACCTAAACAAAGATGTAAATAAGATTTTTGCGAAATTAAGGTGTGTCTGAACATAGTATTAGTTTTTATACATTTTAATTTGCAACTTTAGATTGTAATTTTTTTTATACATGAAGTTAAAAATATATTAACCAATTTATTTAAAGCCTGACACTAGCAGTCCAAACAAATTATATACGAACTATAGACTAATTAAAAGGAAATTCGAATATTTCCTAAGACAACTGCTGATGAGTACTCGGCAATACTTGAAACAGCATTGTATGGTCAGCTAAATTTCAATAAATTAAATAAAAATTTTTGTCCTTGTCTTTTCTTTGCTATTCGAATCAGTACAACTTTTAAATTGTTTCTATTCATCATAAAGACGCGTCACTTTTTTTTTATTACAGGGTTAAAAATGCATATTAAAGTTTACTTTTTTTGGGGTCAGTTATACAAAAGTCTACGAACGACCAAAATTTCTGTTATCTGATGCGTTCAAAAACTTTTTAAAGAAAGGCATTAGTAATAATTAAGTTTAAATGAGTCCAACTCCTTGCTCACGCCTAAGACAGCGACATCTCATTGAGTGATGTACCAGCTGTTTATTCTGCTATCGAAAAAGAATATACGATACCTGGCGGTGCAAATGAGAGCAAAACGAAGTATATATCGGCTAATAGTAGAAATGTGCGTCATTGGGACGTCGAGCTGGTACCACACTACAATGATTTCCAATTTGTCAAGCATCTCACCTATTTTGGCATCGTCAGAACTAAAAACAACAATATTAGCCTGATGATCAAACGAAGAATTACAATTGCTAATACGTGCTAGATGAGCTCAGTAAGTAGTTGCATAGAATGTTATCACAGAATAATGACGTAGCACTTAGAATTTTCTATGGAAAAGTTCCTCGTAAGCTCTGTGGTCCTATACGGGTTGGCAACGATTACCACATCCAAATGATCCACAAGCTATACGAGCTTTATTACAACATTGATATAATTCAGCAAATTAACATCCAGCGGCTTCATTGTATTAACTATGTGAGAATGGATGACGATGTAATTGAAAGAAGAATGTGTAGAGGTAGATCGTGTTTTCGGTGAAGTGAACAAGTTAAGAAAGCTGTAAACGTACTTGATGAACGATACTAAAGAAGATGTGTATTTAGCAGAGGCACCTGAAGGGACATGCTACATCATGCCGAAACCCGGTAGGGGGTTGTTATGGACATTTAAGTAAGTCCAAGTAAACAAGTAATATTTTAAATATTTTGAAGGTTGTTATTAATTACAAAAATATATGAAAGAAATATGAGTGCATCCCACTTCAAATTAAGTGAAAATCTCTTCATGTTATCTACGTCAGTTTAGTCGGAAAAACACTACAACTAAATAATCTAACATAGTTTTTAATTATTGGCTTTTATTTTAGAATTACAATTGTTTAATAGATAGATAGATAATATTTAATAATAACAATATATTTTTTTTACAACACTGTAGTAGTTATCGTATTAATAGTTACTATTAATACTATAGTTTAATTGGTTATTATAACTTACCTTACAAAAAGCTGTTCCTGATTGTTTACACGCCAAGATACCACAGTAGCACCTTAAAATGAAAAAAATTTGCAATTAAAAAATTGAAAATAATTGTATATAATATTTTTGCTAGTAACATTCTAGTAACATTATTTTTATATAACTTTCAAAAATGACTTTTACACGATATATTTCATCATACAAATAATTTCATATTAAGTAATTATCCATCCAATAAGTTGATAAATTATAAAAATAATATAAAAATTTACTATCTATATTCTTTTTTGTTATTTGACTATTATTTTAACTGGATATTAGTGAACACATATTAAATAACTTTATAAAAGAAATATTATTTACACAATTAATTAATTGTATCCTTTTCATTATATATAGATTGCTTGTCTTTAAAACCATATTGGAGTAGTCCCCTCGTTTTGGACTGCTTGTACAAGCTGTAAAAGCTTCTTTTTCTTAGTTGACCATTACAGATGTGAGTCGTCTTCGGCCGCGTCGAGTAGCCAGCCCGATCAAGAAGGGAGGGAATGAACAAATATGGTAAAGTATCTGATTGCATTTAACTTGGTAAATACCAGCGCGATCCTTATCAGTGTTCTCTATAAGTTAACACAGCCTCTACTTGACCCCCTCTGGATAGCTACAATCATCCATTCGTAGTGAACTAATGTGTGCAGCGAAATCCTCCTCATGGATATATAAGGTTATGAGTTATACTTGGAACCCACCATCTAAAAACACCTTTCCAATGAAAACGAAGAGTCAGTCTCGGATAAGGAAACCGTTTACTGTTGACGACACACGCAAACGTCATAAGTTTTAATATACCGATACTATTATATAAACAAAACACTCGGGTTTACACATATACATATGTAATACTTGAAATGCAAAAATATTTTAATTGCGTTATTAATATAACGCAAATATGTTTTTTTTTTATATTACAACAATCATGTACTTATTGATATGCAGATTATATTAGAGGCTTTCAGCGCTTACTAATCCAATGAATTATTAGAGTTCATATATGTTATCCGATTATATTATAATCGTCAGCAAATCTTATGTTGTTTATTAGTTCGTCATTTACTTTAATGCTCATGTTATTCAAATGTTGTCTTAAATGACGCAAATGACATTAGACGAATCTAGAGGAAAAATGAGACTGTGCTTTACCACCTAAGTGTGCTGGTAGTAATATTTCATAACAAAAAGAGGATCCAGGGTGAAATTGCCACTATAATAGGTGTGTAAAATTTTGAAAAATTTGTAGCATAATAAATCAGATAATTATGGTTAGCATTAATCAGTATTATATTAGCAAATTTTAAACAAAAACTTTTAATATTTTGAACAGATATTCACTCTAGATAGGACAAACGATAATATCCCAACACTGATTTTATGTTATGATTCCGGAAGTTAACGTAATTAAAAAATACACTTATGATTGAGATTTTGATCTCATTTTCATTTCAGTATATTCCTTGAACCTAGCCATAAGATGAAAAATATATTATTAGAATGTTTTCCACGGGTTATCGTATGTGACTTTTCGGCACATAGCAGGTAATAGGTAGATCATCTCATGACGGATGTTGAAATATCTTACACCGTCGAGTTTGTGGACTTCGTAACCTTACAAACACATGTTCAATACTGACAAATCACATAATCTTGGAGATAAATTCACATCATCAAATACTGAAATTGCACGTTAAGAAAATGTATTATCCAATAAAGTCAAAACAAGACTATACTGTTGAAATCACGAAAATTTAATATCTACATATATTCAATTAACAAAATATTGGGTATCATATAACTCAGTGATCAGATTATAACTATTGACGATTTATGTCACACCTTCGTCATTTTCAAAATAGTGCCACAACATACAGCGACTTTTGTGGTCTTTTAATAGTTACTTATAAGTTTTACTTATAAGACATATCCACTAAACGACATATCTACTAAACCACATATCAACTAAACTAGATATCAACTAAACGACATATTCACTAAATGACATATCCATTAAACGACATATCCATTAAACGATACATCTACTAAACGACATATTCACTAAATGACATATTCATTAAACGACATATCCACTAAACGACATATCCTCACAACTAAAGAAACCTTAAATATAATCAATCTTTTTATGTTAAATTTTCAATCATTTTAATTTTTTTCTATGTCTTAGGAAAACAGTTCTGTTTGACATACATATGTAAGTCACTGATTCAGATCAGTATTACTCGGATCAGCATTAAATCGGAATCACGATATATGTACTCGTTTTTATATGCAATGGCTTCTAATTGTCCAAAACACTTACCTCTGACTAAGACGCGTGATTATCTCTAATAACTTTCATAAATTAATAATTAATAATGTTTAATTTTTTTTTTGGCAGTTATTTTGTATGGACTACACAGATTATGATCAGTGAATTTCAGCCATTTATTGACTTTGTTTGTTTGGAAAGTCTATTATTCGAAAAAGTCTCTGTGCAACCAACAAGCAGTTATATTTTATAAAGTTGATATTATGAATTTGTGAAAACATTTAGAAAAACAATATACAATAGGAGTAGTATAAGTAAATATTTATAAACTATATAACTTAATGTATTTAAAAATAAATTATTTTGATGACGCTATTGCCACTTGACCTGTTTAATAGATTGTATGAAAACTTATGAGAATAATGATTTTTAGACCGACGCAATTTGTAACGTAAAACGAAAAAGAAATAAGCATATATACACATATAAAAAAATTTATTTTTTCAATTGAAATGCTCTGTAAATAAATATTATAAGTGCAAATTTTAGACACTCATTTTTTTCTTTCTACAGTCGATTCTCATATGATATAAGATTTTGAAGACTATTTGCAACAGATACTTTTGGCAAAAATAAGGGTTTGACAAACAAAGAACAAGATTCGAACAATTACAGACACATAAATGTGTAAATTTCGTCCCACGTTTAAATCCGAGTAGGTAATTTTAATGACAACAACGGACAAGTTTTGAGTTAATTTTTTATTGCAAAAATAAAGTAAAAATGGAAAAAGATATGTAAAAAGTATGTACAAAATTTAAAAATATATTAATATATGTTTCCATATAATTGCAAAGCTAACAATTTCACTCTACACTCATTCATACACGAATTTAAGATTGAAAGTTATATGTAAAGCTTATATATAATAACTATAACTAGAATAACTATAGCACAAATGACTGGTCTTACATCTAACTCAAAACCTGTAAAAAAGTGTCTAAACACCTTTCTATAATAGATCGTTCTTAAAATCCCTTTCATACTATTGTCCTAATATCTAGCATTGATACATCAATATTTACCTGTAAAAGCTTATTTTGAAATAGTGGAAGATCATGATGTAGACCCAAATTTAAAATGTTAGAAACTATGAAACCATAACTGAGATAACTGAGATTAATAATATAGTTCTATAGTTTATATTAGTTATATATAGTATTTATTTTTTGACAAATTTTTACGAATGGAAAATATAGAACATATTGTTATATATTCTATAGTTTATATTAGTTCTACACAGTATTTATATTTTGACATTAGATTTTTATTAATGGAAAATATAGAATATAGTGTTCTATATTCTATAGTATATATTAGTTCTACACAGTATTTATATGTTGACATTAGATTTTTATTAATGGAAAATATAGAATATATTGTTCTATATTCTATAGTATGTATTAGTTCTACACAGTATTTATATTTTGACATTAGATTTTTATTAATGGAAAAAATAGAATATATTGTTCTATATTCTATAGTATATATTAGTTCTATACAGTTTAGTAGTAGCAAAAACACATGCAATATTATGAAAACTAAATAGAATTAAAATCATCATTTTTTAATGAGATACTTGGCAATATTGAAGTGTTCTAAGTGTCACAATTTTATGACAAATATGGTAAAACAAGGAATTCAGTTCAACTTCTTCCATGACGATTCACCAGATATCGATTGTTGAGATTAATAAATTAATTAACTAAAGTACATACTATATAGATTGTCCAGATATCGGAGTTTGAGGTTGACAATATATAGATTTGATTACACAATCAAAAAATAATCAAGTCATGTAGCGGTAATCAGCATATGGAAATTTTACATTAATTATGCAAGAAATAGTTAAAAATAATCGTTTGTGTTTATTGTTGGTATGTTTCATATAACAAATATGAAACTTTAGAGCCTTACGTCTTGAAAATTAAAGTAAATCGATATAAAGCGTAGTGAGGAAAAGTTACTCAGAATAATCGATTTAACCAAAATCAGTAGACTAAGAAACTATAATTGTAACAGATACCGTTTTTTAATCTGATCATTCTCAAACTGTACAACATTCAGTCGGAAATCGAGAAGTGGCGATGTCTGTCAAAAGAACGATGTTTCATTTACTGATCATTTTCTTAAAACTTAATAATATTTTTAGTACATAAACCAAAAAAGGAATTATTTTTTTTAAACAATATACAAGTGTTTGGTAGTAATAATATTCAATATATAAAAATCATTTATTTTAAAATACATCAAAAATTTCTTTGACAACCAGATTTAATTCTACATTACTGTTATCTCTCCTCAATTAAAAATATATATAAATTAAAAAAAGTATTGCATGAGTGAATTAATAACGTAATTATGTACATATAAAGGAAATAAATTAATAATTTAAATGAAGTTTCAAAAGTTTGCTTAATTATATGATATGTAATTAACTAATTTTGTAAAAACTTCCTCATCGAAAAACTATATTTGAAGTGAAATCTATATCATCTATATTATTTAGCACTACACTCCAGTGTGAACCTTGGCCTCCGTAAAGAAGGTTGAGTAGCGGACGTTGAAACTATATAGTCTATTTTAAATTGTATATACTATAAACTCTTTATATAGTTACAAGTTTAGTTATATAAGCTTCAAAGTGTTGAAGCATTACACTGTTCGCGCAGGTTAACTATACTCAAATT